ATATAGAACCGGATGTAAAAACCAAGAAGCGGACACAGTCGATGAAAAAGGTTCCTGAAAACATCGTCGATGAAGTCCAGGAGAGAATAAAAGTACCCCTACTCAAGTTCAAAAGAGATGAAACAAGTGATTGGCAACCATCTGGCAATGAATTTATTATGAACATCTGGGACTTTGGAGGCCAACCGATATATCATGTGATACAACGAGTAAAGTCATTTTATTAATTAATAAATGAAGTAGAATTTAAATCAAACTTAAAATTTATTCTATGTATTTCATTCAGTTTTAATTAATTGTGGATGATTATCTTGTAGATTTTCATGATATCTTTTGCCGTTGTTTGTGTGGTATTTAACCTAGAAGATGACCTTGACGCTCCAGCTAAAGTCAAGGATCCGACTACTGTAAGCATTACGTTTTTAAACATTTATTATCTCTTAGCAAGATTTCACTTAAAATATAATAATTTGTACAATATTTTATTTTTTTATTTTTTATTTCAGGGTGAAATGTATCAACATCGAATGACAAATCTTCAGTTCATTCTTTACTGGATTCGTTCAGTATACACAAACAGTAGAGATTCAAAACTGGATGATGGACAACTTTCACCGCCAGTACTAGTGATTGGTACGCATCTAGGCAGCCTCGAGGGGAATGAAGAGGAAAAGAAAAGAAAAGTAAACAACTATGTCATGAACAAAGCAAACAATCTGACAGCAATTTACACTTATAAACAAACTTCAGAAAAAAAACATACGTTATTCAATTGAATTTTGTTAGTGTAACACATAAAAATGGCGTGAAATTTGCCTATTTTGTCAAAGATTACGATATAAATATTAAAATATATTTAACATTTTACAGATCTGACTAAAAGTGGGTTAGAATAGATGGTTAAGTCGAACAAGTACATTATAAAATTTGGATATAAAACACCAAGAGCATTGCCATTTAAATTAAAGATAAAATACAGAAATACTAAAAAAAAATTTAAAATGTTACGATGTATTAAAAATTCATTCGTTCTGACATGCAGAAGCATTCACCTGTTGACTAAATATGTGAAGTTCAAGTTCTGCCGCATAAATATATGCCTTGAGTATAACCATGGATCAATTTCTGTGGCATGACATTGAGGGCCTTGAACCCAGGCTACACTTAGTGAACTATATCATTAAGTGCAGCACTGGTTCAAGGCCCTAAATGTATTTATTGCGTGCCATACAAATTTTAATTAGTGTGTCATATTCAGTTTTTTTACCTGATTATTCCGTCTTGTTACCTAAATTAACTTACTTGTTGTTGGCACTGTCCAGAATGAGAAACAAATATTAAGGGACTTGTATCAAGTGTATTTTAAATTGCTTTGATCACGACTGACACAAGACCAAGTCAACCATTGTAATCATAGCAAACTATTTGGATGGTGTTTACATTGACATTGATTTTGTCTCCATTTGTACAGTTTTAGCAACAGCATGACTGTGGTCCTGCAGTAGAAGAGTAATACCTGAACAAAACAAAATTATTATTTCTAGTTTTTCCCAGATTGCACATTTGTTGAAATGGACTAGGGACTAAATAAAGGGATCTCCGTGACATAATTACTGATACCATCATTATTATCATCAACATCGGTATTGCCGTCATCATTTTCATTCGTCAATAAATAATGCAAACAACATAAATGACATATGAAAGTCATCATCATTGACATTTTCATTTGTCATCGCCATTGTCAATGTCATCATCAATAAATAAATCCATCAATCAATTATGTAATCAATATATCAAACAATCACCATCAATTGATCAATCAATATATTGATTTATATATTGTTCGATTGACTATTTGACCTATAGATTGATTATGATTGATTGGTTGATAAAAATACACTTAAACTAATCAATGAAAATATAGAAAAACTTACAGAAATGTAAAAATTACAGAGATCAAGTATTGATAATATTTTTCTTGTTATTATAATTTATGATTTACTGCTGCTAATTTTATATTTCGTTAATGTAGGCAGAAGAAATATTCAGTAAAATTCGGGAAGCATTGGAAGGAAAACCTTATGAAGCATTGGTGTTCCCTACTTTCTTTGCTATTGAGAACAGCTTACCGTTCGCCAGGAGCAATGCTTCTAACATCATGGACCAAATATTAAAGTTTGCAAAGAAGATGGTTAGAAAACTACCTTTGAAATGGTTGCTTGTTCAACAGGAAATCCAAAAGTTGAAAGTGAAGCATATCTACCTACCAACCAAAAAGGTAGACATTTTATTATTTACAGAAAGTTGCAACTTGTAGGAGTGGGTTGGCGCAGCGGTTGCCGTTCTGCTCCTCATTGAGGTCGGCGGTTCAAATCCCTCGCTGTGCATTTCGCTTGTGTCTAGGCAAGGAACTTTACCTATTTTTGTCTGTGGGTACCTCGTAGGTTCAACGCAAAATGCACTGATTACAGCTGCAACATTATGGAATTTTCTCCAGCCATGTGTATCATATGTGCTTGATACAATATCAGGGTGAGAGGGGGTAATAATGTGAAGCGCTTAGAGGCCTTGTTGTCATTAAGCGCTATGTAAGTCTAATAATTATTAACTTGTGATTATTCTTTTTCATTTCATTAAAATATTAAACTTTACAAAAACAGAAACAGCAAGAAACAAGCACAAAAGAACAGACAGGAACACCGCCCAAAAGTGAACTTAATCACTTGTTAAGCATTATCTTCCAGTTAAAAAGAAATTTTAATAAACTAGTCACTTATTTGCGAATATATCGTTTGTCTGTTTATGTTTCGGTATCTCTTTCTACACTTGTTTAAAACCATTAAACTTGGGTTTTTTTTTTTTCTTTATCAGGTGATCGCTTTAGTTAAGCGGTTTGGAGTCAAACAAGATGCTCAAAGGGTACTGCTTGAGTATCTACACGACCTTGGCGAGATTCTCTACTTTCCTGATGACGAATCCTTAAAGGATATTATTGTTTTGGATGTGATGCAATTAGTGGACATGTTTAAAACAATAATCACTGTTATTGACCCTGAACTTAGGGTGAGTTAAATTCACAACATCACACAATATCTTAGAACTATGTTCTCAACCTTGGGTCTACCATGGAAGTATGGGTATATCGACCTTCTAAGGATTGGCAAGCATCTTGCAAATGAGAACGGATTGGAACCCTATTATTGTCATGTTGGTGAAGCTCACCCCTCTGCTGCCACCATTTTGTAATCGGAAAATCTGATACATTTCAAAAAAGGTTCAAAACATAAGAAGTCTAAGAAAGTAGCGGGATTACTAGCTTCAAATAATTGTGGTTAAGATGCTTGCCTTCCAGTACCAGGGTTTTGGGTTCAATTTCTGTCAGTGCTGCAGGATTTTTTTACCCTAAACATCATATTGAGGTTTAGTTTGTGTAAAACATAGTTGAATGTAAGTTAATAATAATAATAATAATTATAATAATAATAATAAAAATATTAATAATAATAATAATAATAATAATAATAATAATAACATTTGTAATGAAAACATAACCCTGTAAGCCTAAGTTAAAATTATGTATTTCAGAAACAAAAACACTTAGAGGCTTGGAGGAAATTGGACACAGGGGTCCTTGAGGAGCATCTGTTAAGACATTTGTGGAAGAAGTTCAAGTTTTCAGATACGACATTCGACTTCTTTGTATCTCTTATGCAGAAGTTTGGACTGGTGTGTGAGAAAAACATTACAAAGGTAATTAAAAATTTAGGAGCCTATAGGTCTCCAAAGACCCCTCCAATTAAAGACCACTTTTGTGGTCCCATATTAACAAGTGTATTTTATATATTTTTATTATTCTATTTAAAGACCAAAGCTGCTAAAGGCCATGTAAACACAGGTCACATCTGCTAAAGGCCATGTAAACACAGGTCACATCTGCTAAAGGCCATGTAAACACAGGTCACATCCCAAAAGTGGTATTTAATATTGGAGGGAGACCTGTATTTTTCCTAAGTTTTCTGTCTCATAACTCCAATCTCAGGATGTCAGCAAATTATAATTATCATACAATAAACTTGTTTAAATTATTTTTTTATATTTTTTTAGGGAAGATTTTATGGCCCTTTGCAAGTAATTCGACGTGAACGTATACGTATTTTCTACGTTCTTTCACGTTTAAAGCCTGAACGTATTGATATGCCCACTAAGGATGATGGGAAGCATGCAGTTTCAATCTTTCATGACTTTGGTCGGTATCTACCAGACGATCTATTCCAGCGAGGAGTAACTAAGTTCATAGAGAAATTCCAAGTAAAAGATGATGAGCCTAAATTGTCGTATGAGCATGTGGAGTTGAATATCGATCAATTTCACAAAGTGGTTATGAGTGTAGCAACAATCAGGAATCGCCGTATGTTTAAGGTAAGTAGGAGTATTATGATACTTTTTAAATTTCTTTTAATATTATTTTCATTACTTTTTTTATGAATGGAAAGTTTATACAGTACATAGGCCTAATGGTAAAAATAGAGTATTAAAAATTTGCAAATATTGTTTATATATATTTAAGTATACAAATACAATACACTTAAGACTACACATTTCATACATACGCCTGAATATAATTAATAAAAACCAATGCTGCTAAAAACATGTAAGTCACCAACATAAATATCGTTTTCACTGCAATCATAAGTCATTAAAAAAATATATAGGCCTAAATATAATTGCTGTATATAATTGCAATACTGTTTTGCAGTATGAAATATAAAGAACATACACACAGAAAAAAAAACTACTAGAACTGCCAAGAATAAATGAGTATCAAAATCATATTTGTCCTCAAATGACAGATTCTTAATGTTATGATTTCTAGACAACGATCGCAATCTTGGAACCCAGTCAGGAAGTTGAGCCCTCACCGACAGTGTGTAAAAAGGTACTCCACCTTTCATTGATTTGAGAGACTTTCGAGAATCAATTTCAATGTTCTAATGTTTTAAATTTATGTTTTTCCTTAATGTACATTAATTATTTAACATAGATTTAA